ATAGACGAGACATTCTATTACGTATTCATGCAAAGAAGCTTTAGATATTAGTTATTTAATAAAAATTTTAAACGTTATGATCAAATGTACAAAACAAAACATTTTAATTAGATTAATCTAACGCATGTATCTAATGTATCGCAAATATCTCAATTTTTTTTAATTTCACTCCACTTGCAATAAGACACATGATTTTATGTCTAGTTAAATTCTAATTTTCTTCATGAGCGCAGCTGGAATTTCAACTCTGACTGATCAGTGTGTGTCTAGTCAATGTTAGAATTCGAATTTTGCCTACAACATAAACGAGACCTCACTTTTATAGCAGTTATTCTGTCTTGAATTATTAATTATCAAAATGGTACAATAAATAATAAGATATTAAAAAAAAGAAATTTTGTTTCTATTCTAATCATACAGATTTTGAATTCATCATATAATCCATCTTTGATTTTCTATATTAATTTTTTAATAGAAACAAAGTTTTAAATAATATTCTCTATAACCATAAAATGATAAGATTAAGAAAAAAAAAATTCTTTGTTAAAAATACATTTATTTGTTTTTTTAAGAACTATCAAAGATATTTATCAATATTACTATTGTATGTAATCAATAGAGAAAAAAAAATTAATATTGATTGATTTTACTAATCATAAATGTTTTGAATATGAGTAAAGTATTTTTTTTCTTCTCATTTGAATTCTGATAGATATATTGTGATATTAATCGATATTGAAATGTTGTCTTTTGTCAATGTGTTTGAACTATGTTCTAAAGTAATGATATGTTGAAAAATTTCTTATTAACCAAATAATACATTATGACAATGTTGTTTCATCTTTTTCATTGATTATATCTGCATGTATATTGTTTTCTATCATTGAGAAAGATCTTACTTTTGATACCGAATAATTGTTTTTTTTTTCTTGTCTTTCTTTTTTGTTAAGGATATATGCTCATCATCATTAAATTAGATAGGAGGAGACACATAATTGATTCATATGTCTTTGAAGTTCATTGAATCAAATAGATACTCATCGATTTGACAATAAAATAACAAGCAATATGCATGTGAATGTATACATTTCTAATAGACATCGATCTCACTTGATATGTTGACCTTTTGGCCTAAATGATTATTCGGTTGAAACTCGATCTATTGATGGTGATTAGAGAAAATATATACTATTGAATATAAACACAAATGAGACGTGTCTGTTGTTATAGTTAGATTTTTCGATAGGGTGTGGTTGTTGTCGTCAGTAAAAGGTTGTTTTAGATCGTTTACATTTCACACAATACGATCGACAGCATAAATTACGTATACATATTTAACTCAATTCAAGAATCATTAAACGATAAAAAAAAACAAAAACTGATGACAAGATAAGTTTTTTCTTCTTCTTATTATTATTATTATGGAAAACAAAAAAAAAAAACCAAAACAAAACTGTAAACATATGTAAATATGAACAGATTGAGAAAGAAAATAATCATAAAAACTATGATGAATTTTCTCTCACTGTAAATGTCATATTATAATTGTCTTTATTATTGTCATTTATATATTTGACTAGATGATATTTCATTTTATGATGAACATGTTGTAGTTACAGGTGAAATAAAATTATACAATGAATGATGATTATGATGATGATGAAGAACATTAGCAGCAGCAACAGCTAATGGATGTTTCATTTGTAGAAAACGATATTTTTCTGCATCAGCTTCAGCAATACGTTTTTCTTTAGCTCGACGATTTTGAAACCAAATCTAAATGAAAGAAATTATGTTTTTTTTTGTATTTAAATTAATCAAAAAGAATTCATACTTTAACTTGTGTTTCAGTAAGATTTAATGATGCTGAAAATTCAGCACGTTCAGCAATAGTTAAATATTGTTTATCACGAAATTTTTTTTCTAATGCTAATAATTGTGATGTTGTAAATGGTGTACGTGGTTTTCGATTTTGTTTATGTTTACGTAATGAACAAATTTTTGCATTAATTTTTGGTAATTCATTATTACCTAAAATAATTAAAAGAGAACATATTATCAAATAAAATATTATATTTAAAACAAAAAACAACGATCAATTTTCTATTAAAAATCTCTTATTAGTTATTTCCGTAAAATTAATATAATAACACTAAAAAAAACAAGAAGAAATGATGTCCTTCTATGTCTAATTGAAAAAATAAAAACACTTCATAGTATTGCATTTTGTAAAGAATCTTTTCTATAACTATATATGTTATTGTTTTTTTGGAATAGTTTACTTACGTGCTTTATCAATAATTTCAGCATCAGGTAACCAATGTAATTGTGTATTAGTATTTTGTGACCAAGATGATCGAGTAATAATACTACTACCACCAGTACATGTTGATGAAGATGATGGAGAATATTGAAGACTTTCATTACTTGTTGATTTCGATGGACTTGTTGTATGAGATGAGGAATGTTGTATATCATTTTGTGAACAATCAATTAATGAACGTATACTAAAATCAGTATTACGTTTCGATATTTTTAATGGTAATTCCATGTTTAACGATTGTTCGTTAGATTTAATTCTAATTTGTGAAGTCAAATTTAGTTTTTTTTTTTTTTTTTTTTTTTTTTTCTTTCTTCTAGAACGAAGAGAAGAAAAAAAAATTTGATTGGTTTGAGCATTGAACTAAGTAGAAGAAAATCGTTTATTGGACGAAAAAAAAAAAAAAGAATTCTTATTTCTTTCTCTTTGATCGATGAGAAAAAGGAAATAGAAGCTTATCCCTGAAACGGATATTACTTTCTTTCTTTTTTTTTCCTAAAAAAAAAAAAACATATCATTGTGTGCATCTTTATTTAATGATAATAAGTACGAAGAAAGTAAAAAAATCGAAAGGATCAATCAAAATAAAACTATCATTAATCGTATATAGAACAAATCCCAATAATTTAATCTCGACAGGTATCCGCCTCTTACGTTCATTCAGTTTGAGACAGACATTCAACGTGAGGAAAATGACAAATTCACGTTTGATTTGATGTTGTTTTTCTTTTTTTTGTTTCGTTTTCTTGACGAGGTTAATTCTAAATAGCAAGACTCTAGGGGGCAATTAGATGATAGGTGAAGAAAGCATCTATCACTGTATACGATTGACAAGCGCAACGAGTATGATAATATGCATCTGACATATGCATAGTTTTTTCTTTTTTTTTTTTTTTTTCATGATTGGATTTCTTCTTCATGATGTAATATAGACTGATCTTCGAACAACACATTAATAAAAAGAACACAAAAAAAAAATCATCGATTTAATGATCTTTATTATAATGAAAGTAAATCGTTTGATGAAAAAAAGTTTAGATCACTATCCAGATGCCTCTTGAAGAGAAATATGGATATCGGTCTCTTTTAACCAAAAAAATACAGATATATACAATTGAATGTAATAATCAATAAGCCAGATGAAATATTCATTTCTTTCTCATGAAAATCTTTTCACAATTTTTATTCATTCGACATCATTCACATATCATTAAACTAAATGACTATTATGATGTGCATTGAGGCTCGTCACTAGTCAAGTGTTGAACGGTTGTTGTGTGTTCACTGATCAAAATTTGATTTTATATATATATATTTCTTTTTTTTTTTTTTCGTTTCTATCACCATGTGATTCAATGATTTGGAACAGATTTAATATTCGATTGTCAAAAAAAAAAAAAACAAAAATGGAATGGTTCACCTGCTTTCTTCTCTCATACATATCACATTCTTGCAATTAAATAATCATTGTTTTGTCACATCTTTTAATAATCGATTGTAGACATTTTATGGACAGAACCTAGCATGATGTTCATTAATGAAAGAAAAAATAAAATCAGAGAATTTGATATGCAAATTTTGTCGTTTTTTTTTTTTCTGTTTCAAAGTCAATGACAGACAATTGAAAATTTATTCACTTAAATCGATGAGTTTCATTTTTTTTTTTTTTGACATTTTTGAACATGCAAACAAACTTTCAATTCTTTTTTTTTATCGTCCTTCAACTATTGAGTAGTATAGATGCGTGACATTAATATACATGATATTGATAATTGAGAAAAATTAATGGGGTTATCTTCATCGTTTGTTTTTCGAAGGAGGTATGTGATAAATGAGAAGAAAGATAATATAGAGAGACAATTAACGAAATATATCAAAATTGTATACTTTGAGTAGTATATAACATGAACATTGAGAAAATGAGAGATCGATAGATATATTAAGAGTAGCTTTTTGTATCTTATGTATTAAAGGGTTGTTCTTAATTCAACAAATAGATAGTTGTATATTCATATTTTTATTATGAGTTTGAAAACAAAAATTATATGTTAATAAAAGCTTATTTTATAGTAGGAGTGTCTAGAAATCATCTGGATTGTTAAAAGGCTTCAATTGTGGATCTAGAATTTTCGAGTAAAATATGAGATGATCATGAAACATGTCGGTTCGGTTTTGAAGAAAAAAAAAACATTTCAGAAGGAAGCGACGACTATTGTCAGTGTTGTTTCTTAATCAATCAGTGAGAAGTTTTTGCTAAAATTGATAGTAAAAATATCTTGTATCTCTTTCAATCAACTATCCTATTCCAATTTTGAAATTTTTATTGAGAGTATGTCAGTCAACTTCGAAAATTTTGAATCCTATAGGCTCTTCTAATTATACTGAATGTTTGTTTTTATTATATACATTCTAATTATTATCAAGTCTTGTATCCATTTTTCAAGTATATTCTTATCGTGTTGAAATTTAATCTTGAAAAGTTTTCAAAATATAATTTAGAAATCAATAAGAAAAACTTATTTTCCAGATAATTATATATATATATGTATAAATCTGATATTCTCTTTTAGTACAAAATGATAGTAACTATCTCATTAGTTGAATACAATAACCGTTTGTCTTTGTAAATATATATATATATATAAACATTGAATGGTTGAGACGTGACACAACGAGTCAATTGCTATTCGGTCGATGAGGCTAATCGACTATTAACAAATGCATTTAATAGAGAATAAGAACATTTAATCGTCAATAAATAGACGCATATATATATATATGTATAAAAAAAAAAGGAAGACTAGTTTTTACAAAAAATGAAATAATAAAAAAAAAGAAAACAATTTTTTTTTTTTTTTAGTTCATGCAAAAGAAAAATATGCTGATGTCATTTCGAATTGTTTTGTTAATTGATCTTTTAATTGTATAAAACGATATTTATCTAATTCAGCTTCTGATAAACGTTTTTCTTTAGCTCGACGATTTTGAAACCAAATCTATTATAATAATAATAATAATTATATTTTTGAAAAATTTATTTTAAATACATACTTTTACTTGAGTTTCTGTTAGATTAAGTGATAAAGAAAATTCAGCACGTTCTGTTATTGATAAATAATGTCGTTCATGAAATTTTCTTTCTAATGCAAGTAATTGTGATGTTGTAAATGGTGTACGTGGTTTTCTATCATTTTTATGTTTACGTAATGAACAAAATTTTGGTTCGAGTTGATCTAAATTTTTTTTTTTCATAAAATATTTTTAAAACAAAATTTTTAAACTTACCAGAGAAATCATATTGTTTAGAATTTATTGTTTTTGAAATTGAATTTGAATTTGTTGATGAAGATTCCGATAAATAATTTAAATCATAATCATGATTATTATCTCGTAAAAGAAATGCTACACTAAAATCTTTTGTAGGTTTTGTAACCATTTTATATAGTCGTTACTTTTTTCTGTTGTTTTTTTTCTTCTTCTTCTTCTTCTAATGAATAATTGTCGTAATATATAATTATGATTTGTTTTTCTTGCTGTCTCTCTCTATATCTCTCGTTTTGCTTACTGTCTATAAATCAAAATAAATATGCCGAATCTATAACACCAATGAAAATCATGATAACGCGATATAAGTAAGAGAATAAAACAAGTTCACTC